ATCAAGGTAAAAAAGAATCCTCAATTTGTTGACATATATTCATGCAAGCTTACAATCTTTAAACTATATAATAAGGATGTATAACCATAAAATAATCTCTAATAAGTAGAGTCAATACAAAAAGGAATGAGAAGAAAAGGCAACAAAGGTGCAACTATCATTGAGGTCTTGGAGAAACATATGAAGGATACTAGTCGTTAACATGATAATGTCATATTTGATGTCAACAATATGATTGATGACATTATATAACTTGTAGATGGAAATATAGTTTCACTATAAATAATTGTATATAAGAATCCAACATCCTAAATGTACCTATAATTCCAATATTTTAAACCTTAAACAGTTAACACCTAAACTTTCAATCAACTATCCAAAAATTAAAGTTAAGGAAGTCCTTAAATGCCTATGGTTGATTAATGCATAAGATGAGTGATTGATTAACCAGATACTCAAGAAGTAAAGGGTAGTGAGAGGTACTTCAGAGTTAAAATAAATCCCTAAGTGGACCCGTGGAAGATGCATTATCAAATTAACTTTTACATGATGTAATGCTACCAAGGATTCCTCCAACCAACACTAATAAAGAAGAAAAGACTAAAATGTTGTTCAAAACGAACGTAGTTGAAACATATGTAAGATTAATTGTTGTAAATCATAAGGTCTAAATAATTTCTTAAGCACCATCTTTTGTCTAACCGCAAAAGAAAAGAATTTAGTGGAGATTGTCTCATCTTTCTACATTTTGTATTGATTTTTTTTTCTATTTTATTCTTTTAAGTCTTAGCCTTTTTTAAAACCTACCAAGCATTTTTATACTATTACTTTTTTTTATTACATGCTAATGAATCTTTCTTTTTCTTTCTAGGTTATTCTTATTCTTCCTTTCTTTGTGCTTAACAAATATTATAAAACTACATCCTTTGTTTCTCCACTTCCTTTCTTGTTAAATATTTAACCTCCAACAATTTTTCAACAATACACTTTGAAACCTTACATTGACAAGCTTGAGTCTCTCACTACTCCTCAACAATCCATCACTTCTAATCTTACTAATTGTCTTATTTGGTTAGAGTCATTTGCCATATAGAGGCAATGATGTTTTGCATTTAGATAGAAGAAGTATAGTTTTTGGCAAAGTTTTATTTTTATGTTTACAAATGGAGAGAGTAAAGATGTAATTAATGCCTTTCTTTTTTTAACAAAACAAATCTTTTACACTTGCTTTGTTATACTTGCTCTTATCTTGATAATCTATAGGATTGTATTTGATGCATGACTAAATTATGGTATGCTTATTGCTGTTAATAAAATTTATAAAAACTTATTATTTTGTCGTCATAAAAAAGGAAGAAACTTTTAGATTTAAGATTATTTTCTTTAAGACTAAAAGTCTGACACATTTTGTGTATGAAAAGAAAATAAAATGTCCTAATTGAATTTTATATTGTTATTTGATAAGTCTACTAAATGTTTTATTATAAGCTAGCATTCAAAAACATCAATTGGTAAAAAATGATGCATTAGAAATTATGGCCTATAAAAAATTAATAATGAGAAGTACTTAACTGATGGTATATTAAGTAACGACAAAAGTAAGTGTTGACCAAAGAAATAGATCTATTTTCAAATAAAGTAAAAGCGTACTTTTTTAGTAGAGACAAAATCACATTTCTACTCATTCTTCAAACTAAGCACTAAGTCAATAAAAAGAACAGGAGAAAGAATTCAAAAAGAACTTTTGATGGAGTAAAAATCTATACCTTGTCAAAAGCACTTCTCAAAAAATGTGTACAAATTGTCTAATAGATGTATAAATGTCTATAACATAAACTAACATGTTAAAAAAAATATTAGAGTTAGCAAATAACATTAAAGATATGAATATTTATTATTTTGTTATATTTGTTATCCATAACTTATAATGTTATATGAATATTTTGTTGAGTATTTTACTATAATGATTAAGTTATTTGATAGTAAAACTATGTCATTATTTAATTGATTTGAAAAGCTTTTAAGGTGTTTATTTCTCTCAATTCTGACATCTAAATGTCAAATAAAAGCTTTTACAAGGTGTTAAGTTACAAAGTTTTTAAGGAGTTAATAAAGATTAAAGATAACATATTTAGTACAAATATTTTATACTTTCTAAGGAAAGAAAATTATATATGTTGATTATGTTTTATGAAGCGTGGTTACTTCAAAATTTAATGTGTTCATGAATGTAATATGAACCTTGTCTATACAATTTATTTGAATAATGATACATAATTTGGGTGTGCATGGTTATAACACAATGAGGCTACGGGTATAGCTTGCTCTAAATGAAACTAAATTCTTAAGTAATATATCATAACAAAATTATCAAGTCCTTTGTCTTGTACCATTGATCTCTTAACTTGCTCCAGAATCTTCATTTTCTATATTCTTTTAAGCTTTAAACCTTCTCTTCCTTCTAAGCCAATTATGTTATCTATTGTTATTGATAGAATGATAGTATATTCTTTTGATTAAGAATGATCTTTGTGCAATAGTTTTAAAGCATAAATAATTCACTATATGTTGTATTTAATGAATATGCATGTTTATGCTTCTGTTGAAGTATAATTATCTTTGTTGCACATGTTATTTTGAAGTTGGTTAAAGATAAAGTTAGTCATATACCTTATAAGGATTCCAAATTGACTGGAGTACTTCAGTCTTCACTTAATGGTCATGGATGTGTTTCTGTCAAGCTTCTCTTGAGCAACTATTTATGTACTCATGCATTTGTGAAAAATAAATTTCATTATACACATCTTTGAGGTAAAAATGCTTAAACATAAATAAGCCATTCTAATAGTATATTGTCATTTTAAATACAACTTATTTGCATGGTAATTCTTTCATCAAGTAGTACTTAAAAAAACTCATAATACCTTGCAATCTCACCAGACAAAGCACATTGAAATATGAGTAGTACAAAATATGGGAAGTTATATTTTAAAACTTCTTTTTGTTGAATAAATTTTTTCTACACATAGTACAAAGCATAAGATAAAGCTCCTAATCTGTCTTTTACATAAACCCATTATTAGTGTTATGTTATGTAATAAATAAGAGAACATGAACTTACTCCAAATATCATCCTACACTCTATATAGGATAGGGATTTTGAACTACAGGTACCTCAATTCCATTATGTATCATTATTACTATCACATGAACACACGGTTCCTCTTTAGTTATGTATTTATCCATTTAATTGTTGGGGCAAAGGAAAGCTCGGGAACATAGAATTATGAAAGAAATTAGGGTCACTCAATTTTTTTTATAATTTAACAGAAAAGGTGGTGTTCTTTCCTTCTTTTTTTAGCTAAGAATTAAGCACTAAAAGTTTAAATATATCATATAGGTTAACATACTCATGGTTTTACTAAATTTTTATTGAGTGTTTATAATTTAAAAGTTTTTTACGGAGTCTTTATGTTTCTAAAAATTTTCAAATAAGTCCTCTATCACTACAACTATTATAAATTTGTTAAATTTTGTTGATCTATATGGACATAATGATAACTTTCATAAACTATAACACTGTGTTAGACTAATAGTACTGTTAAATAATAATGTTTACTTTTTTATCTTGTACAAATTCAAAGAAGAGCAAAAAATCTTACTTTGATTAAAGGCACATTTAGAAATTATGTTAAAAACAATCACTACTTTTTATTCCTCTCCAATCTATGAGTTGCATCATGACACTATCAAACAAATAAACTTAAGTTTCCATACTTTGTCTTTATCTGAGTTTTTAAATAGATCATAGATACTCGTGCAAATGACTTAGCATACATTTAAGTACTACATATATATGTGTGGACAAGTGACTTTTTTCTTTTTTTTATTGATCTTTGTACTTACTAGTTCTTTTTTTTAATTATTATTGCTTTCAACTTTTTACTAAAAGAGTATTAATTTAAATGTTATAATTGTTTAAAACAATTCACTTAAAGATAATATAGTAATAAATTTAATGACAAAAATATTTTTATTAGTTTTTTTTAGGGCTAGCTCATTTACCAGATCTATAAAAATATATAAAGAAACACATATTCATACAAAAGATAAGAAGCAAATATAAATACATTCAAAAAGTTCTTATTATTTTAAGTCTTTTATAAATTAAAAAACTTCATTCTTATTCTTAATGTGTCTTAAGTCTAAAGAAATAAGTGTAATATACTTGACTTTTTTAGTTTATAAATATTCATACAAAAATTCTTAGTATTAGTCATTACATTTGCATTTGTAAGTTTTGATTGAATATTAAAAATTTTGACTATGACTCAAAAACTAGACATAGCCCTAACATTTTAAGATGAACTAGTATAAATTCTAAATATTCTTTTTCTCTTTCATACTTTTAATATCTTTAAAAATAAATAAAAAAATTTACATTATTTTTATCTTTAATTAAAACTATATCATCTTGACGTTATGTCAATTTTAATAGTTTGAATAACAAAATAAAAAAAATAACATTTTCATAACTTAATTACCCAACACATTTATTTATCTCAAATTCCCAAAAAGAAAAAACACAAAAAGTAAATAAAATGTAAATAGATAAAAATGTTAATATTTTTAAAGTATTTAAAAATAATAATTTTTAAAGTAAATGATATTTATTATATTTTAATATTTTATATAAAAATATTTATTTTAATAAAATATTATTATTTTAGATATTTAAAATTAATAATAGAACTTATATTAACAAAAATTAATTAATAAATAACCATATAAGATTTTTTCCCTCCATATTATCAATGATTAATATTTTTTAAAAGTTTTAAAAATATTTAATATTCTGATTTTTATAAAAACAATTATGTAGTTTTTTATATACAGTTTTCTTATTATATTTTAAAAAAGAAAGTAAAAATAATTTTAACGAATATATACTAATTATTAAAAATGAAATTATAAAATTATTGAAGTGTCAAGAAAAAATTAGAGTAACTGTCAACCCGACAGTGAGCACAGTTCGGTTAAGGACCCTCACTGGCTTCGCTGGCCTCTTCTCTCTCTATTCTTCTTCTTCTTCTTAGATGTTCATATATAACTTCAACTCATTCCATGAAACATCTTACTACAATTCCACTGTGTCACAATCCCCACATTCATGCATTTTCCACTGTTACATGACATCAATCTCTGGATACGACACCGTTGCGTTCTAGGGTTTCCGCTCCACTATGTCTGACAGAGGCGTCAATTTCAAGTGGTTAGTTTCAATCTTTCTTCATTGCTTTAGGAACATGATTTTTATTCTCAATTTGACATGCAAAATACTCTGCTTGCAGGTTCGATGGCTTTTTCTTGTCTATGCTCGCTACCAGCGTGTATCCTTTCACAATTCACCTTCTAATTCTAATATTGGATTCTCGTAGTGTTCCTTTGGTTCATTGATTTTTCTACGTTCTTAATATCCATGCGAAAAAAAAAAGAACAAATAAATAAATTTCTGTAATTCATTATAGCAATGAAGTCAAAACATGAATCGCGAGTGCGTTTTCTATGACCATATGACCTATAGAGCCATTGTGGTGATTAATTGGAAGCGGTACCATTCTTGTACACACCCTTTGCACATTTGGATTGTGGTGGGTTTTTATATTAACGCTGTTTATTTTTATTTTTTAGATTGCTATTTCTCTTTTCTTGATATGATAAAATTGACTCATAAATTATTATTTTTTGAATGACTCAGGTTGACTACACTACTGTTTTCACTTTTCGGCTTTTGATGTTTGTTGATAATGGGCTTGCTTCGGGAATGGGTTTGTAAGACCTTTTCTTTTAACTTTTGAGCTACTTGTTTTGGTGGATTTCTTATTCCAAATTGAATGAATAGATGCATGCATTAATATTGTAAGCCCCGGTTAAATTAGAGCATGATGATGAGTTGATGAAAGACTAGTCATCATGTTGCAGCATTTTCATGTGTTTCTTTCTAATCTATGTGGTTGAAAGTTAGTCAATAGTCGAAACTGAATAAGCAAAAACCTGCATGTTGTAGCTACGGTTCTTGTACATACCATAATCTTGGCATCAATCTACATGAAACTGATGCAGTTGTGTGTAGTATGGGTAACATTAATTAACAACAATAACCAAGTTTTATTCTAGTGAGTGAGGTTAGCTACATGGATCACACAATAATATCGTTAAACTCAATAAAAAACTAAATTTTCATAAATCTGATTAATTAAAAGGTCTCTTTTAATAACTTAATCAAAGGTTCTTTTGAGTCTCTCTCGACTCGTTTTTATCAAACTAAAAGTCATGCAATCCACTTTGATACTTTCAAAGGTCTTCTTTACACGTGACCCAATCACCTTCGACAATTTTCAATAATTTTCCACTATAAGTACTACTTCAATATTCTCACATGTACTATCATTTTATCTTATTATTTCTTGTGCGACCATTCAACTACCTTAACATTTTCATTTCCGCCACTTCTATTTTCTTCCCGTATTGTTCCTTTAAAGCCTAACATTTGCTACTGTATAAGATAACTAATCATATTACACTATAATAAAATTTTTCTTTCAGCCTGATAGGTACTTTATGGTCACAAATAACTCTTGATGTCTTTCTTCACTTTGACCACCCAATTTGGATTCTATGAGTAACATCTTCATTAATTTTTCATCATTCTATAAAATCGATCTCAAGTACTTGAACTTGAAAACTTATGATATAATATTATCTTTAATTTGAACTTCTAATGCATAATTCTCATTTTGTTTTTTGCTAAACTTATGATGCATATACTCTCTTACATCTACTTAAGCAACAACCTTTAGATTTTAAAATCTTCTTCCATAACTTAAGTTTAATATTAACCTCTTCTTTTGAATCCTTAACCAACATTATGTCATCTGCTAATAGCTTACACTTAAGGATAATTTTTTGTATATTACTTATAAGCACATAAAACTAGATTAAATAAATAAGGGCTCAAAGGGGCCTTGATGTAAATTTATCAATATTGAGAAGTTCTTAGATATATTTCCAGAAGTTCTTACACATGTTATCTCCTCATATATGTCTTATATAGCCCGAATATATGTTACATGGATCCTTTTCTTTTTTAAAGTCTTTCATAACATTTTTCTTAGTATTTGATCATATGCTTTTTTCAAGTCATAGGTTTGTGAGGCAGTATAGTTATTCACTTTGCTTGAATTAAATTTTGCAGCACTTCCTGGACGGTATGGCTTAGGTTAAAATTGTAGTGGAATTGGACAGGACAATTTCTTGAAAATATAGACTCCTATGGTTTTATTAAAATTTATTGTTCATACGTATAACTCTGGAATATGAAGTTTCCAGAGTTAATTTCTCTTATATTTACTTGACTTCCAAGTGTCAAGCACTCAAGTGGAGATCATTCATGTCACGGCTGACTTCTTTGATTTCATTAAATAAACGTCAAGAAATGGTTCTGGACTTCTAGTTATTTTTCAAATCCAATTATAGATTATATTTATATTTATTTCTATTTTCCACTCTTTTGCTTTGTTTCTAGAGATTTTGGGTGGCAGCAGAGATATGCTCGTTTCTGTGGAAGAGTGGTTGTGCTTTCAATCCTTGCATTGCTTCTCTATCCATTTCTTTGGGCTTGGACAATAATTGGTTCCTTGTGGTTCAGCAATGCTAAAATCTGTGTATGTTTTATTATTTTTAATCCTCAATGGTACTTTTGTAATCAAGTTTATGATACTTAATCCAAATAATTATGTGCAGTTGCCAGGAGAGGGTCAGAAATGGGGCTTCCTCATCTGGTTACTTTTTAGCTACTGTGGACTGCTTTGTATTGCTTGCATGTCAATAGGGAAGGTTAGTGGTCTATGTTGCTGCACATGAGAAATTTCAATGACATGTTTCCACTTGCCATGATAAAATAAACTCTGTACATCTCTGGTTCTGCATTTAGATGCTATTAAACTCATATTTCTTTACAGCTGCTCTACATAGAGCAGCGTCTATTCAAATGCACGTATCACAGTTTTAGATGCATAACCTAACATGCTTTCTTTCTTTTGTGCATGTTGTGCTGTTCTTGTTTATAGAATGACCTATCAGTTGCACATGCTGTGGAAGAATATTGTCTTCTCCTTCACTGTTTCTTGTCTCTATTTCAGTTTAGTTTTCATTTTGTTTTGCTTATTTATTTGCAGTGGTTGAAACGAAGACAAGCACACTCGTTAGGTGCTCGAGAGGGTATCCCTGTATCTGCATATGGGGTAAGTTCTATTTTTATTATGTTTCATATGTAAGAGTGTTGGTTAATAACTCATGGAAACTTCACCTTTTGATGACATGATACTGCTATGTTTAGTATCATACAGGGTTATTTTTAAGTTATATGCTGAATGGCACCAAAAGAAATTTCCTTCCTCTTTTCTCCTTCTGAAAAGGAAAGGACTATAAAAGATTCTTTTATTTTGTATTTCTTGAATCTGCAGTTGTGTTGTGTAGTATCTGTTAATGTTCAAAATATCTGGTAATCTGGCATGTTATTGGAGCTATAATGAGTCGATGATGCTTTAATCCCATTTAGTGTTTTTTCTTTTATGATTTTGAAACCATGTAGTGATTTTGTTCTGATGAACTTATCTAACGATGATGAATCTGAGCTGTTTGCTGTCCCTTTGGAGACTGCTGACTAACATTTTAGATTCTTCTGTTTTATGCAAACTTTCTACATCATATACTTGAATTTATTGCAGTTTAATGCTTCTAGATTCCAAGTGAATTCTGCTTTCTTTTATTGTCAGATTTTTTATTGGCTGTTCTGAGCTATGCGTATATCTTGTCTAATGCGCTCATCTATTACTGAGTAAAGCACCTTATGTGGTAACAAGATTGTAAACTAACAAGGTGTATCTACTTTTATAATGAATCCCATTATCTCATGCAAACTTAATATCCTATACAACTTCTGAGGGATTACCTTCAAGCTATGAAGAAAGTGTGGTCTGCTTTTTCATGTTCTTTCTTGAAGTTTTATGGAATACCAATTTTCTAATGGTTTTTCATCATTTCAATTTTAAAGATGTTGCATATACAGGGTTCATGGGGATTCTTAGCAATCTAAGCTTGTGTTTGGTTTGTTTTCACGTTTTTATTTGTAATTGATAACCTGATATGTTTTTATCATAATTACAACAATGTTACCTTGCTTTGATTTTATTTCCTGTATTCAAAATTTTGTGAAGGAAATGGTGAAAACAGCAAACGAAAACTAAAAACAAACCAAACCCCCTCTAAATATACATTCCCTTTTGATTCTCCAAAATTTAGTACTATTGAATTGAATGGTATCAATAACAATTGATGTTTTTTATTGTTAGGTTCTAGTTGAAATGATCCGAGTGCCTGATTGGGCATTTGAGGCTGCAGGTCAAGAAACAAGGAGCATAGGCCAAGATACTACATATCATCCTGGACTTTACCTAACTCCAGCTCAGGTTATTTTGGTTTATATTTCTACATGTCTTGATCACATATTGGAACTCATATAAAGCAGCAATTTATGTCTTTATGTGCCAAGCAGAACGAACCTTATTGGGGCATTCAATAGTCAATGAAATCTGTTGGTTGGTTTCTCTGATGAATTAATCATACCATTGTCTCGTGTATTTTAACAAAATGTAGGTTAGGATTATTTGTGCAATATGCTTATATGAGATCTCTTATTTGAATATCCTTTCACTGCTCTTACTTAGGTTTCTTGTGTGGGTTGTATGCAGAGAGAAGCGGTTGAAGCTTTAATTCAGGAACTCCCGGAGTTCAGGTTAAATGCTGTTCCTACTAATTGCAGTGAATGTCTGATCTGCTTAGAAGAGTTCCGTGTAGGGAATCAGGTATACTTATTGTTCCATCTGACTACCTACATACAAGGCCTTAACAAAAAATATTAGTGTGCATTGTGTTCCATATTCCATCATATATATTACTTTTAAGTTTAAATCATTTCTGATGATTTCCGTCTTTAAGTTCTGTCTATCTTTAGCAAATTATGGGAGCCCTATACTTTTAATAATATTGAGACGCAATGTATACTGTAAAGAGCAGTTGAAATTTAGTTTCTAACTTAATGTGGTGCAGGTCCGCGGCCTGCCATGTGCTCATAATTTTCATGTTGAATGCATCGATGAGTGGCTTCGGCTTAATGTGAAATGTCCTCGATGCCGTTGTTCAGTATTTCCTAATCTTGATCTCAGTGCTCTGTCCAATATCCGTTCCGAGTCTGAACAATCTTCCGCCAGTGTTGTGACAGCAACCAGATATGTGACAGGCCAACCTTCTAGTCAGAGTTACCTGTTGAGACTACAGGGGCTTCTCCGCCCAGTGTGTACTGAAATTGCTGTGCCAGTTGGTGAGATAGACAGTGCTTTGGAAAATGCTGAAGATGGTGTTAGACCTGTTGTCACTCGAAACATGCCAACTGGAGACCAGGCCATTTCTGTTGAACGCTTGCCTGTTAGTTTTTCCTCTGCACAAAATTAGACTTGCTTTCATATTGCTTCTCAACTTCTGTTATATTTCTAACCCATTCGTGACAAGTTGAAGGGTACATATCGGTATCCAACCATCGACTGAAGCTTTAAAAACGGTGTACATTCTAACAAGAAATTTTCTGGACTGATTCATAAGGAAATGGATAACTTTCTTTTACTGAGGGATCTTGTACAAATAAGACTCGAAGGTTGAAAATATTCCTTAGCTAACATAGGTCAGAACTACAGATGTGCAATTGTCTGGCGATTTAATAAACTGTCATCGGAGTTGACAATTCTAAGAATTGTATATTGAATATTTTTTCCTACATTTTCTTCTACTTGTTGGGGTAAGAATCTGTATTTTTGGGAAGAGGGGCTTGATATGGAAATGAAATACACATTTATTTTAGACGTTTTATATTTTGTTTTATGTTTATGCATGTTGAAGACTTGCTGTTGTAGTGAATGTGAACGTGGTACATGTTTTGCACATCAGAGATATAGCTCTTCTTCCACTCTCCCAAAAGCACTTTGGCCCTACTACATGAAGGAAATTTTAGCTTCAGAGCCGCCGTTGATCCTTGTTTAAATAAAAACTGACATCCTTAACGTTTTCCAATGACAAGTATCGTCAAATATACTTGCCTACTTGGTAGTATTGCGTCGACCTTGGCGCTATTTGACTTGCAAGAAAACACGATCAGGTTCTTGTCTGGATGTAATGTTCGTATGTTTGTGATAGTGACTCCTGTATTTTCTTTTACTGCTAAACATTTGAGCTGGCTCTTTCGTAGCCTGTGTCATCTCGAGGTCTGCAACTTCTTTTGGAATTATTGTGGTCATGAATAGTTTTCAATACATAAAATATTCCACTCGTTTGATATAAACTCTCCTGCTGGAACTTCGGTTTTTGCCCATTCAATTACGTGGTGGAAAAACACTGCCCAGTGTCTGGACAAACATTTTCAGATAATGACCGGTAAGGACACGGTTAACAATTTAGCGCCACCTAGAAAGTTCAGTGAGATTAGGATTAGGCAAACAACTGCCAAGTCGAGTGGATTCAACACGCATGTATGGATAGACTCCTCACCAAAAATTCTCTGTTGATACCTTTCAGGGTTTATATACGGAGATTTGGATCGTCTCATGTTATTAAGGAAATGATATGGTCACGTTAACAAAATTATTTTGTTAACCTTAATGGGACTTGAAGTTAATCAAGGTGAGTCTTTATTTTAATATGAAGGTGAGTCTTTATTTTAATATGGTCACGTAATAGGTTCTATTTAATACGATACTTTTTTCCAAGCAGCTGTCGTGAGTAGTTTTTATATAATTTTTCTATCATAATGTAACCATTTTTACTATTTTCAACTATTCAATCAACGTTTTAGGGTGAATTAGGTTAGGTTAGATTTTCAGTTTGCACAATTTAGAAAATTGGTCAAAATCAATCAAAACAGTCACAGTTTGGTGAAAAGTGCTGAAAATATTCAAAATCAACCCAGAAAAATGGCTTCAATCACCTTTTTAGAAGACATCATATTTTGGGTTTTTAAACTTTAAAATATTTTTTAAAATAGATAAAAACTCTTATTACAAAATCTGTTTATAAATTATTATTATTATTTATTATTTATTATTTATCATAATTTTTTTACCTTATACTTAATTTCTCTCTTTTTTATATATTTCTGTATTAATTTATCACTAAATATATAAATTAAAAATAGATATTTAATTAATAGTAGTTTGATCCCGATTCAATTGATTGCACCAATGAATCAAAGTCTTTATCAGTTTAATAATTGATCCGATTTTAAACACGTAAATTATAATTTAATTAGAAATTACCATATATTAAGCTTGGCTTCGATTAGTTGAATGGTCCAATGTACTGTTTATATACCAGTGAATTTAGATACAAAATAATTTCATACAACTCCTTTAAATCAAAGGCAAGAATAGCTTTTAATTACGGACTAAATTAAATCAAATGAATGACCAAAGAAAATTAAACTAAAATATTTATACTTTTTGGAAAGGATGGCGTCTTGATATGGTATTCCTTAAAAAAATAAAAATTTACTTTTTTATAAGTGATAAATGTAATATTTAATTATTAATTAAATAAAATAAAATCAAATTAATTTACAATTTTAAGAAATAATACTGTTGGATATCGGTAATAATAAAACAATAAAGTATTCAGAAAAATTTATTTGAATATTTAAGTAATAAATATAAGATTTAATTCTTAATCAATCCAAATAAAATCAGCAAATGAACAAGTCAAATTACTTTCAATTTTAGGAAGGACAACAATCATTTCATATATGAGTTTTTTTATATCTTCCTAATGATTCTCCTACTATTTTATAAAGTATACATTAAATAAAAAGAATATATAAATTTATAATCTTAAAAGCATAGTAATTCAAAAGGTTTATTTTAAAAAATAAAATTTAGATTTTTTTTATAAATAACCACACCATAATTTGTTTCTATAGAAAAAAATTGCGGATAAGTTATTTAAATAGAGAATCTAAGTTTTATAATTACAGTAAAATGGATTTTTTGCAAAATTTCAGAGATATAGCCTCTAAAAAATTGTCAATGGTGATTTTTGCCTGATCTGAGGTGAAGCTGTCATAAACAGTGTTTAGAACAGTTGCATACTCCTAAAAATTCATCTGTGACAATTTTTACTGGCACAGAAATTTCAGCTTCACTAATGAGCAGGGAGGAGAGTGTTTCGAAGCCTCCATGAAAACTCACTAATGGCGATTTTTTAGACTATAAATAAGGCTTGAAACAACACTTTCATATGTAGATAAGAGGGGAATTAAGGGGGAAAAAAAAAGGAAGAATGCTTGGGAAGGAGGCCAGAAAGCAAGTGAAGAAAAAAAATTATAAATATTTTTAGATAGACAAATTTTATAAAAAAAAAATTTAAAAATCCTATGAACATGGTTTGTCATGCAATTATAGAATCGCACAAGCATATTTTTAACTTAATTTTATTGATGGTAAATTTTAATTATTTAATAATTTAATATTAAAAAATGCATAACACAAACATAATAATTTTTTTAAATAGTAAAAAGTTAATATTGTAGTTTAATATTTTTAATGTTATAAGAAATTAAAAAAGATATAATAATTTTATTAAATACTGAAATTTTAATATTAGGAAATGTATAATATACAAATAATAATTTTGAACAAAATTAACATAATAAATAATAAGTATAACATTTTTTTATTTTTTAGTTACTTTTATTAAAAATAAATATGATGAAAAAATATACAATAATTTTATTAAATACTGAAATTTTAATATTAGCAAATGTATAATATAAAGCTAATAATTTTAGACAAAGTTAACATAATAAATAATAACTATAGCACATGTTTTTATTTTTTTGTTAATTACTTTTATCAATAATTAATATAATTATAAAAAGATAATAATTTTATTAAATACTGAAATTTTAATATTAGGAAGTGTATAACATAAAAATAACAATATTGGACAAAGTTAATGTAATAAATAACAAGTATAGCACATTTTTTTTTACTTTGTTAAATACTTTTATTAAACATTAATATAATGAAAAAAAAGATATAATAGTTTTATTAAATATTGGAATTTTAATATTAGAAAATGTATAATATAAAAATAATTTTTTTTTTGACAAAGTTAACGTAATAAATGATAAGTATAGCAATTTTTATTTTGTTAATTACTTTTATTAAAAATAAATTTTGTAAAATTATTTAATGTAAAATTTATCAATAATAATTAAAATTAATATTTTCTATTAATTTTGATTAATAAAAAGTAATGAATAAATAATTTATTAAATTTGTGTGGGTATAATTAAGTGGAAATATATCATTTTTTGTATACTTGAATAATTCTTTTTATTTTGATATATGTTTATTTCATAGAATGATTTTTTTTTTTTATAATTTCAAGTAATGAGAGTACTATGTTCTCATCATTTATTGATAATGCTACCTAAACTTGAAATAAATGATATTTTACAAAATAAACTTGATCATATTGCATAAATATGTTAAATGCATATAAACGGTGGCCTTGTAAGTGCACTTCTTAAACATTAGAGACCGAAAACACATACATTTTATCTTCCTTGTAGAGAATGCACAATAACATTAGAAGATGTTGCTATGTTAGTTAGACAACAAATCAATGATCTACCAATGATTGCTTCTACTAATTTAAATACTCTAACACTACAGGTTATGAGAATACTATGATCTCATCATTTATTGATAATGTCACCTAATTCTGAAATAAATGATCTTTTACAAAATGTTGAACTTAATCGTTTTGCACAAATATGTTAAATGCATATAAATGGTGGTTTTATAAGTGCACTTGTTGAATGTTAGAGACCATAAACAAATACATTCCATCTTCGTTGAAGAGAATGCAGAATAATATTAGAAGATGCTTAGACTACGAATCAATAGTCTATCAATGATTGCTTCTACTAATCTGAATACTTTAGCATTGCAGGATATATGTGAATAGTTACTAGGCAGTTGGCATGGATTAAACCATATTGAAGATTCCAAAATAAGATTAAAGTGGATCACACAACACTTTGGTTGGCTTCTTGCTAATTTGGACATTAAGGATACTACAACATACTCATGGATATGTATTTTTTTTGTGGAGGCATGTTCTAATGTCAAATAAAACTAAATTAGTAGTATATATAAAATTCATGCAAATGTTGGTAATTGTCCATGAATTGAAATATACAATTGAGGTTCAACATCCCTTGCCTTTCTATATAAAGGTTTAGATTGTGGTTTATGACATGATACTAAAGGAATTTGTGGATACCTAATACTGTTATAGGTATGGGCATGACACCAGCTTCTATGGTTGTCTCCAATACCTAGTGAACCAATAATATTTTTACTTGCATTCAGATAGAGACACCTTTGATATCTAACCAACATTTTATATAGAAAGATCTTGAAAATGTTAGACTAGCACTAGATCAAATAAGACTTTATGAGGTATCTTGTTAATATATCTTAACATTTTTTTAACTATTTTTGTACCTCTTTAATATTATTTATATCTATGGTTTTTGTGATCATGCAGTTTTTGTGGCGACCATATGAGAATGAAACTATTGAGTTGTTGTTCTAGATGATGTGAGAGGAGAATGTGTATTGTGACCAACTGTGAGCTCATTGATATGCTTTGAGGTTGTAAAGTGGCATATAGCTGACCGTGTGTGAACACTAAAATTTTGATTTAAATTTTTTTTTAAAATAAAAATGAAAAAATAAAAAAATAAAAAATCTGAATTTTAATATTACAAAAGAAGAATGGAATCAAAAGGTTTAAAAAAAAAACAAAAAAAAACAAAAATTTGTCTTAATAAAATAGGAAAATTTCAGAATTAATTTTTAAAAGGAAAATAGAATATGACAAATAATTAAATTCTTGAACCAATATTACTTTATACATAAAAAAGGAAAAATTCAGAATTTTGGGTCTTTTGGTGAAAACCCTAACAATAAAAGGAAAAAAGGACCATGGAGCAGCGGGAGACATGAGAGGAGGCTAAAAACTTTTTGAGAGGAGGCATTCTAAAACGGGGAGAGAAAAAGAGAAAATAGAGAGAAAGAAAGGTTAGTGGAAAGGAGGAAGAACAAGAGGCAAGCAAAAATTTTCAAGAACATCAAGTAAGCTTCATCATACATTTTACACATTTTTCTTCTTCATACATATTTATATTTTGAATAAACATTTCCTATATCAAATCAATCTCAAATGATAAAAAAATATTTTAAACCACCATTTCAAATATCCATGTCTCACCACC